ACATAAGAGATATTTGCCAGACATATTTGAGAAGAAACCTTGATAATTACGTTGCCATTACGACTAAAAAGGGACCTTTACTCAGATTTTAGTGGAATGCTTGAGAACAAACATGCTATTGAAATGGATATGTATTTAAATATACATATATTTAATTAAATGTTTCCTGGTATGTTCATGGCTGCATATACACATGCACAGAATAGACAGTACAGCTGAAAGTCAAAGTGGTCCCTTTCTGAGAGCAGTCTAGAGCAAACAGGACTCATTTCAGAGTGGGAAATGACTACTCACCAGTCAGTCTGAGCTGAAGGGACTCCTCCAAGGCATGAATCCCTCACCTCTTCTCCACAAGGACACTTCCCCTTCATCCCGGGACACTGCTCCCAGGCTATTCTTAAAGATAAAAGGCCAACGTTCCCAGGACTGCAGCCAGAGGAATGTGGGTATCCAGAGCTCATCAATACGGTGGAGCGGAGAGGATGGTGAGGCCATGTGGGCACAGTGCGATGGTTTCTGGCCCAGGCTGCAGCCCTGCTCCCGGGACTGGGCTGGCTTCTCTCCTTTCAGTGCACCAAGCCCGGAAGTCCTCTGGATGCCATTGTCATCCCCAAGACCTCAGCCACTTGAGCCAGCCAAAGGAGGAAACCTTAGAGGCTTTTGACTGGCACACTGGCTTCCTCTGTGCCAAGGGCAACCCAGACGGTAACACCCAAGGTCTTAGGATGGGTCCATTCTATGGGGACCCAACACCTGGTCCCCAGCTGGTTCTGCCCAGTCACCTTCGGCTGACGTGAACGGCAAGAGCATTAGTTCACTAAGCCTCGCAGGAGCCCGGAGGGGCAGGTCACCCCCAAGCACATTATCCTCCCTTAACAGATGGGGAAATGACGGCACAGAAGGATTAAATAACCTGCCCAGCCTCATGCAGCCAGCCCCAGGTGGAGCACAAAATGATCGGGGCCCTCGTGCCAGCTCTCAGGGACAGAGAAGGCTCCCGGTAAAGCTCTTTATAACTCTAGGATCCTGTGCATCACGGATGCCTAGCACAAGAGGTAGAAAAGAATAGAAAGATAAGCAAGCAGGGTAACGTTAAAGGGGCTCTCACTGTCTCTGCTTACCTGTGCTAAACTAAACCACCACAAGAGAAGAAAGACGGGGTTGGGGATTTAGCTCAGTGGCCCCTGGGTTCGGTCCTCAGCTCTGGAAAAAAAAAAAAAAAAAAAGACCAAAAAAGAAAAAAGAGAAGAAAGGTATTTAATACCCAGTGGAGAGCGATGGCATGGGCATGCGTGTAGCGGGCAGGTAGGGAGCAAGGGCTGCAGTGAACGGGGTCAAAGGAAGGGTCAGGCCGGGCAGCGGCGGAGTCAGGCTAAGTGGGATTCTATCAGTCAGTGACCTCTGTCCTTCACGTCCCTTGGGACTTGGCATAGACCGCAGACCTCTAGCTTAAAACTGTGCCCCTATCACTCTTTCACTCAATAAGCACTTACATCTGGAATGTGTGCAAGGCGCTCAGAGAGACATAAAGATAATCCACCTGCCCCTGCAGTAAAAACCAGCTGCGGATGTCATCAGGGAGCACACGTGAGCCACTAAGACACAGTGAAAGGCAGCAAGGCCCGGAGCTGGTAGGAAACCCAGGAGTCTGTGGGAGAACTCAGAGTAGAGCGAGGTCCCAGGGAGGGGACCCATCTCCGCAGCACAGGAGAGGGAGTCCTGCAACGCTGGCCAGAGAGACACTAGAAAGAGAAAGTACTTGGGGGAAGGGCACTGGGCTGTCCTCAAGACCCAGACTTCACGGTGGTGGTAAGGAACAAAGGGCAGCTGGGCGCGGTGGGCAGAGGCAGGTGAATCTCTGCGAGTTCAAGGCTAGCCTGATCTCCAGAGTTCCAGGACAGCCAGGGCTACACAGAGAAACCCTGTCTCAAACAAAACAAAAACAAAAACATAAACAAACACCAACAAAAAACAAAGGGTACGTCGAGTCGGGTTGAGGCGTGAGGGTGGGGTTGACACAGAGAAGCCAGGCCAACAAACGTCTTAAGTGTGGAGTAAGGAGGTTAAATTCTACTCCCAGAATCACCCCAGCGTCAGTAAGCGTGAGTGCGAGGAAGGGCAGGGAGGCCATTTTCCTTCTGAGGAATGCAGGCCGACCTGGAGGAGGACATGCCAATCCAAACAAAGCCCACCTCTGCTTTCTTTTACCGGTTGTTATCTAGTCCTTACCACTCCCAAGTTTAACAATTTAAAACATTTGTCTGGGAGGCCAGAGGTAGTGACATACTTGGAAGGCTGAGGCAGGAGGATTACGAGTTCCAGGACATCCAAGCCTACAGAGTAAGGCCCTATCTCAAAGGAAAGAGGGGGCAGGGGGCTATGGATGCAGTTCATTCATTAGAGTGCTTGCCTGGCACTCTTTATTCCCTGCACAGCATAAGCTGGAGTGGTGGGGCACGCCTGTAATCCCAACCATTTGGTGGTGAAGGCAATTGGATCAGAAGTTCCAAGTCACTGTCTTGGATACACAGTGAGTTCAAGGCCTACCCAGGTGACAGGAGACCTTTTCTTTCTTTTTTTTCCTTTTTCTTTTTTTTTTTTCTTTTGGTTTTTCAGAGACAGGGTTTCTCTGTGTAGTTTCAGTGCCTGTCCTGGATCTCGCTCTGTAGCCCAGGCTGACCTCGAACTCACAGAGATCCGCCTGGCTCTGCCTCCCGAGTGCTGGGATTAAAGGCCTGGCTGAGACCTTTTCAAAATAAACTAGGCCACTAGCTGCCTCAGTAGGTAAACGTGCTTGACAGGCGCGTATGCTGACCTGAGTTTGAGCCTTAGATCTCAAAATGGGAGGAGAGAACCAACTCCTCAAAGTTGTCCTCTGACTTCCACAGGGGGTGCACAAGCCTGTTAATATTCTGACCCGCCCTGCATCCTGATGGAAAAGCCTCATTTTAAGGGAAAACTCCTCCCCTTCCTCTTCCTCTTCCTCTCCCTCTCTCCCTCCCTCTCCCTCCCTCTCTCTCCCTTCTCCCTCTCCCCCCTCTCTCCCTCTTCCCTATCTTTCTCTTCATCTCTCTATTACAATAAACTCTCCACATGGATGCAGCGCCTGGGTGTGAATGACTTTCCACGAGCCGCCACCATGGGGTACTCTGGCCTGGCCAGCTGGGGGGTTCCCTACTCGTACATAATTCATAACAATGCCTACACACATGCACACACACACTAATAAAATGAAAAAAAAATTAGAAATACACATAAAAAAGTCTAGAAGGGTAATTAGCACCTTGTATATAAATAAAGTAATACAATAAAATATTTGATATGCTTTGCCCCCACAGAGGATCATAACCCTAGCCATCAACTTCTCACCCAAGAACGCTTCTCACAAGAATGAATGATGAGGTAATGTCTGTGAAATGCCCAGAGCTCTCTGAAGATGCGTGGCAAAAGGCATCACTATAATTAATATTTAACGAGATACTCCCGGCTCTGATCTTTTTTTCTGCAGACTAATGTTACGTCCACAGGATAAGGTGATGCCAGATTGGCCCCCACATCAACCTCTCCAGCACACAGTGCCCAGCCCTGCTACCTATCCCCCGGGTTCCTTCCTTCTATGGTTGATGGGACCCATTATCCCAAACATTCAGGACTGGTCTCCAGTGTGAGAGTCTAAGGTTGCTAGAAAATAAAGGCCAAAACACATCAAGGAGAAGGGCAAAATAAATGTCAGAGGGCAGTCTTCCTCGGGGTCCCATTTCAAAGCATGAGAGGACCCCCTGAAGACTTCAAGGGGAATGATTTTAGCAAAGCCCACATCCTAAGCCAGTTAATATTTTTAGGCCTACTGTACTACTCAAGAAAGGAAGGAGTAAGAATAGCTATGTGGGTTCAATTACAAATGGAGTGGAGAAAATAATTTCAAAAGTTCAAGGGGAAAAAAAATCAATCTATTTCCTCCCCGCCCCAAGCTTTCACGTCTATAAATATTCACACAAATGGACCCAAGACCACGCTGCCTTCGCAAATGCTACCTGTTTGAGAATCTGCAAGATCGATGATGTGCTAGGCTGGCTCTCAAAGCACCTGAGCTCAAACAATACTCCCCAAAGCGTCTCTGTTCTTCTTAAACAACATCATTTTCCCTCTCGGATTATAAGAGCCATACATGTGCCTGGCAGAAATTTTTCATCTTTTAGAAATAAGAAAATATTCTCTAAAATCTCCAAGGTACTAATTACCTTTCCTTTTCGTATGAAAACACATTTTTCAACGTAACTTGAGAACTTATCTTTTAGATGAGTTATAACCTGGTTTCCCCTGTGCCTTTGCTATTCTGCTACAGTTATTATTTTTTTTGTTTTTTTTTTTTTGTTTTTTTTGTTTGGTTTTTCGAGACAGGGTTTCTCTGTGTAGCTTTGCGCCTTTCCTGGATCTCGCTCTGTAGACCAGGCTGGCCTCGAACTCACAGAGATCTGCCTGCCTCTGTCTCCCAAGTGCTGGGATTAAAGGCATGTGCCACCACCACCCGGCCAGAGCATCCTGTCTGAAGAGACTCCCTATTCTGGACACTTGGTTCTTTTTTCAGTGTCTTACAGACAATAGAGACATCTTTGCCTGACACATCACGGGTTATTCTTAGGGCTGGCCTACTGGGTGAAAGACTATACACTAACGCAGAGAGCTTTTTTGTTTGGTTTTGTTTGGGGAGACAGTTTGTAACCCAGGCTGGCTTCGAACATGCTATGTAGCCAAGGATGGTATTAAATCTTGACCCCCGACACATGCCCACGTCCTCTGAGTACTTGTATTACAGTGTGCACCAAACCCATATGAGTTTTGAAAGCCAATACAGCCAAAATGCCTGGCAGACAGGTTATCTCAAATTTACTCCCTCCATCTGTGGGAGAGTCACTCCCCCCAAATGCTCATTGTCCTTTAATTTGATAGATGTATAAAGGTAACATTGCAGCTAGCGATGGAGCCCTATTGGTAGAGTGCTTGTCCAGCATGACGCGGCCGGGGTTTGATCCCAAGCACGGACTATTACCAGGTATGTTGGCACACACTAGTAATCCCAACACTGGAAAAGTGAAGGTGGAAGGATCAGAAAGTCAAGATCATGCTTAGCTGCAGACAGTTTGAGGCCAGCCTGGGCTACAAGAGACATTCTCTCAAAAATAAGACAATAAAGAGGCGTCGCTGCTTTTATTTGCAGCTCTTTGATTATTGGAGATGTCCCCAAATGTCAGTGTCAACAGCACTCTTCAGAGTATTTTTACAGTGCGGGTCTGATCATCAGAAAGTTGGCAGTCGCTTTTCTGGTGGTGACAATCTCCCTACGAGAACATGCCTCACGAAAAGGATCTCCTTCATCCCTCTCCGGAAGAGGAAAAGAGGAAACGTAAGAAAAAGCGCCTGATGCAGAGCCCCAATTCCTACTTTATGGAGGTGCAATGCCCAGGATGCTGTAAGATCACCACGGTCTTTAGCCATGCACAGACAGTGGTCTTGTCTGTCGGCTGCTCCACTGTCCTCTGTCAGCCCACAGGTGGAAAAGCATGGCTGACAGAAGGATGCTCCTTCAGGAGGAAGCCGCACTGGAAAGCACCTGATTCAAGATGAGTGGGAACCGGCCCAATAAACACATTTTTGGATATATTAAAAAAATATATCTGCTCCTCTAAAGGGGTCTCTCCCACCTCTGAGGACACCTCGGTGGTTTTCCCGCTCTGGACCTGTTTTCACCCCCATGCCTCTCTCAGCAAACATTTCAGTTTCAACCGGTGAGCCAGACATGGAACACGTCAGTCACTTTATTTAGTCTTTCTTTATCCCACTGCTATCTCTTGCGAGGGGGGTGGCACCACGCTAAGAGGAAAGAATAGCCAGGGTGCTGTGAGAAGCCAGGGCAGGGTCAATAATGAGCTTGGGAAGAAAACAGGGCTAAGGGTGGGGGCGGGCGGGGTGTACAAGAGCAAAGTCCAGAAGCTTGTTAAAGCACCAGCCACAGAGGGGATATTTTCATCACCAAGGCATAGAGAGGCTGAAGACAGACAGGTTAGCTCAGGCCAAACTACTGAGCTACCTCACCTGTGGTCCACTCTCTTCCCCAGCATCTTAGTTCAGACTTGTGATCCCCGCCTGGCCCATCTCAGCTGCAGATTCATCTAAGAGCCTTCCCACAGAACCCTCCTCAGCATCCTTCCATCCATCAGGACCTCAGTGCCTGGGGCAGGAGCTCTGGCTGGCATACCAATCTACTCAGCAATCCCCGGTGAATAGAGCACTGTTCCACAACTCTTGGGCACAAGTCTCGGGAGCCTGGCTAGAAAAGAAAACTCAGGGCTGGTGATATATTCTCTCATACCCCAAGCTCTCAACATCCGACTGAACTTACATAATAGGCAATCTATAAAAGTGTACAGAATCTAACCAAATTAAGTTGAGCAGAATAAATACAAGAGAGGTGATGCCTGGACACAGACTATATGGATCTGTTGCCCAGACAGCTGGGAAAATTGAAACTGTCTTTGAAGATTAGTTTCCGAACACAATCATATTAAAAGGGGGAGTAATTTCCTCCAGGTGTGAATTTTGCATCTACATGGCCGGTTCTCAGGCACACAGCTGCACTTGTCCAGCCAAGCTGCATATCCCAAGAGCCCCTGTGCACAAAGGTCAATCAATTCGAGAGGTTTGCATTTTTTCTTTTTCCTTCGCAGGAAGTCAGAAGGAGAAAGGCCCCTAACACACGCCATCTCCACTGGGATTTTCCACACTGACAATTCCAGTTCAAGGCAAAAATTCAATCCTTTCTCATTCATGTTTTCATGAAGGCAGCAAACAGGTCTAGATAATTCTTCCCCAAGGGCCAAAAGGCTGAACATTCCCCAAGTTCATCAGATTCCCTGGGCTAGGGATTCCTTCCTAGCTATAGAGAGCCCTGGGCTAAGTTGCTGGGTCGTCCCCCCCCCCCCCCCCCCCCCCCCCCCCGCCCCAAGTGACCTCTACAAAACTGAGAACTGCCCCACCCCCACAGTTGCTCATGCCTAAAAGAACTCTCCAGGCAGTGGATTAGCAGCCTGCGTTGAGGCATTAAATGCTGAGTCAATGCTGCTGGACTAGAAGTCACTGGGGCCCTCCCTGCCAGGGAGGTACTCGCCAGATTCACAGACTCGGTGACAACTGGTGAAATAACAAAACCCAGGCACCTGGGAGGCAGAGGCAGGCGGATCTCTGCGAGTTCAAGACCAGCCTGGTCTACAGAGAGAGTGCCAGGACAGCCAGGGCTACCTGAAAAACTACACTCCCAGGATTGCTTAGTCACAGGGGATTCCTATATAGCCTGTCTCATTTTTTCTGGACCCATCTCCCAGGTAGGCACCAAGCCCTCCTTCTAGTTCATTCTGGAAGCTAGAGGCTGACCACTCCAGGGCACTGGCTCAACGAACTGTGTGAACTGAAGAAATGAACGATGATAAAATGAAGGATGGACAGAGCCACTGTCTCAGGAACAAAACAAAACAAACACAAAGAATAATAAAACCCCAAAATATCACCAACGCTTTGGGCTTGAAAAATCAGGGGCCTGGGCACGTGCCGCCACGCCCAGCCAACCAAACACGCCTTGTCTCTCTTCTCCTGACAGCTCTTCAGGTCATAGAAAAGGGAGGTGGGCATTTACTGACGCTTCTGCAGTTTTAACATGCCCTGACAATCAGATGAATGAACAACTAAATAGTGGGGCCCATTCATGAAGCCAGGAAAACCCAGGCTGATGGAGCCACGAGTCCAAGTACTTGCCACTGTCCCACACAGACCTCCGGTCTCCCGTCTGAAGGCTAGAGGGCACTAAGAAGAGCCAGTGGGAGCACATGGCAGGTGTGTCCAGGACAACAAGGCGTAGATCAGAAGGCTGGAAGCTGGGCTGCGGCTTCTCCATACTATGAGTCTGGAGTGGTTAAGTACCACCCAAGTTCTCGCCACCCTTGCTTGGCAGGGCACGCTGACTCCAGAAGCAGGTCTACCTCACAACACCCCAGAGGCCCCCATCTGCTCTTAGGCAATATACCTGGTGACCATAAAAAGAGCCACGGAATGGCCGGAAGCCAGACAGAAGCAACCATGCCAGCAGTCATAACCATCATTGTTCGTTTATTTCTTCAATCAGCACAGCTCACTGAGTCTATGCCCTGGAGTGCTCGGCTTCTAACCTCCAGAGTGAGCTAGGAGGAGGGCTCAGTGCCTACCTGGGAGAAGGTCCCCCCAAAATGGGACAGGCTATCTAGAAATCCCCCCCTGACCAAGCAATTCTAGGGATGGCATCTTGAACTGGGAAGTGGCAGAAGGGAAGGCTCCCTCTGCCCTGTAAAGGCATCCCATCCCAGACAGGTAAACTGAAGACGTCTTAAAGCAGCTCTAGCAGACAAGGCTTGTCAAAATGGAAAGGCATCATCCTCTAGACTCACCAGGCAAAACCAGAACAGATCTCTGCCCTGCCCCTACCCAGCCCTTCAGGCTCCAAGCAGCTCCCTGTGAATATCTTTCTTACCACGTGAGTCTAATGTCTCCTTTAAACCTGAGATTCTTATGATCCAGCTATGGCCCATCATGCTGGCCCCTGCACATCATCCATGGGCCCCGAACAGCAACCTGGGTCCCTGGTGAGGCTGTAGCTCAATTCCTTTGAATGCATAGTTCTGCTTTGCTTCTCCCTCTAAATGTCTTACTCACTCATGGAGGCTGGGTTCAAATGCCAGTCCCTTCCGAAAGCCTTTCTAGATCTTTCCCCGAGGCATGCCCAAGGGTCTCTGTAAGGTACAGCACCTTGCCCAGAGCCAAATGACTGTCAGTTGCAAGTGAGGCAGGGACTTAAATGATTCATCAGTCTCCTCCCCACCCTCCCCTGCTTCCTGCCCTGCACAGGCCTTTGGCAAAGCATGGGTGAACTGGGAATGGAGTAGCAGCCCCAGAGGGTGCTTTGGGCAGATGTGAGGCTGGAACCTTGGGAGCAAAGGGGACAGCCCTGAGCAGAATCTGGAGCTGCTCAGACTTTGGCCCGTGAAGCCACCATCCTGTCCCCTGCTCTCCCTCAGCTCTGCGAACTGCATATAAAACCCATCACTCCTGCTTGCCCCAAGGCTTTTGGGTGCTCTAAACGCCCCCCCCCCCCCCCAGCCCAGAAGGCAGCAGCAGATTGTGAATCACATTTAAAAGACTGCAGGGCTTTGCACGGAGTTTGTTGACGGGAAGGGAGCTCACGCAACATTCTTTTCAGGACTTCCAACCAATACTTCCTGGTTTTGTTTTTTTTGTTTTATTATCTTTGTTTTTATAGAAATAGATGTGTATATGGGCCCTGGGAAAACAAGTGATTCTTGTGTTCTAAATTGGGGGAAAATACAAAGACCTAAGATTCCCCCCTGTCTCTTCTGTCCAGGGCACTCACCGGGGGACTGTCTGTAACTCTAAGAGCTGCTGCTGAATATTTTAACAGCAGCAGCAGCTTCTTCCCATTGATAAAACTCCACGGACAAGCTGGAGCACGCTGTTGAAATGAGGGCGTGGACCAGAAAGACTTGCACTGCTCTGGGCAGCCTGAGCCTCAGAGGCCCCGCCCCTCCCACCCCCCAAAACAGGGAGAGGGTGATCGGAGCAGTACAAGCACCCAGTAGGGCAGCAGCCAGGATGCTGACCGACAGGAGAGAATGAACACACGGGGACTGGAAAGCAGAGGTGGGCTTGGCCTGTTGGAATATTCCTATAATCTGAGCACCAAAAGGGAGAGTCAGGACGGGGGATCAAAACTTTGAGGCTAGCCTGGTCTACATAACAACCCCCCTTCCATGTATATATAACCACTAGGGGTTGGAGAGATGACTCTGTGATTAAGAACACTGGCAGCTCTTCCAGAGGACCTGGGTTCAATTCCCAGGACCCACATGGTGGCTCACAGAGGGCACCAGTTATGACATGCATATGGTGCAGACTCATGCACAGGCGCACACACACACACACACACACACACACACACACACACACACACCAATGTAATTTAAAAATTTCCCAAGCAAAAGAATGTAAGTAAAATAGAGAGCCAAGAAATCTGTGCAAATCTCAAATCAAGGAATCTGTAAATATGCTCTTATTTGGGAACTAAAAGTCTTTTTTCGACATAGAATTCCATTACTGGGCTTTAGGTGAGCAGCCCACCTGGATGGTCCAGGTAGACCCATCATGAATGTCCTTATAAGAGCAAAGCAGAGATAGAATTGATACAGAAAGCAGAGGAGATGTCCAGGAGGCAGAGACTGGAGCCATGAATCCACAAGTCAAGAAATAACAACAGCAGGGCGGTGGTGGCGCACACCTTTAATCCCAGCACTTGGGAGGCAGAGGCAGGCGGATCTCTGTGAGTTCGAGGCCAGCCTGTCTACAGAGAAGGTTCCAGGACAGCTAAGGCTACATAGAGAAACCCTGTCTCGAAAAACCAAAAACAAACAAACAAGCAAACAACAAACCAAAAAAAGAAATATAACCACCATAAGTTGAAAGAAGCAAAGGAAGGATCCTCCTCCCCTGCTCCGCCCCCACTCCTGTCCCAGCCTCCACAGAGAGGACCGCAGTGCCAACACCTTGATTTTGGGACCTCCTGTGGAAGCTTTAAAAGCCATGGTGTGATGGTGTTACAGCATCTACAGGTAACTAATACAGCAGCTCAGAAGCAGGCAGAGTCGGGCTGGCCAGGCCACCCGGTATCAGCCACTGGTTCTAAGTACTTAGAAGCTGCCTTTCTACTTAAAAGAAGCTGCTTTGCCTCCCTTGAGCCCACAGGATACTAA